CTCTCCAGCCCTGTGGCATGTATCAAGCTTTATTTTTTCTTTTCTTTTTGGTGCTGGGAATTGAATTTAAGGCTTTGTTTATGTCAAGCACACATTATCTTCGCACCCTCTTCATTTTCAAGGCTGAGTAATGTTTCACAATATAAGCCACACTCTGCTCATCCTTCATCTGTGGAAGGACACGTGAAGTGCTTCCATTTTTGGTTGTCATAACAACCGTGAGCATGAGTGTACAGAGATCTTTTCAAGCCCACTTTTTTCCTTCTGGATAAATATCTTAAATTGGATGGAAGTGCTAATAATCATGTAATAATCCCATATTTAACTTTTTGAGGAATTGTCAGGCTGTTTTCCACAGTTACAGTCCCACTCATAATACATAAGGATTCCTATTCCTCCACGTCCTTGCTGACAGTTGTTATTTTCTGCCCCCTCCTTGCCCCTTTTGATACAGTATCTCACGTAGTCTAGGCTGACTTCAAACTTCTGATTCTTCTGCCTCCACCTCCTGGGTACTGGGATTGATTACAGGTGTTTGCTGTGCTGGGGATCAGTCTCAGAGATTCCTTCATGAATACAAGTCAAGCACACTAGCAAGTGAGCTATATTTCAGCCAGTTTCTCATTATGAATGTGGCTGTGCACATGAGCACTAATTTGTGCATTGCGTGTGTGTGGTGTGTGTAGCATGGAAGCTGAGTTTCTTCCTTTATCACTCTCTGTCTTTTTTTTTTTTTTTTAAATAGTTTCCCACTGAACCTGGAACCCACTCTACAAAACTATCTAGACATGAAGCCCGAGGGAATTGCCTTTTTGCCTCCGCAGCACCAGGATTACAGGTGCAAACAATTTCTCCGGGCCTTTTCCATGGGTGCTGGAAAGTAAAACTTAAGTCCTATGCTTGCATTTTCCACGAGCTGCTTGCCCAGATTCTTCACTGTGATTTTGATTTATACTTCACCAGTCCCCCCTGAAGTTAAACATTTTCATTTGCTTATTTGTTGTTTGTCTATTTTCTTTGGAGGCTTGTCTATAGTCAAATTTTATCTATTTTTAAAACTGAAAAATGGGATTCTTGTTGTTACCGAGTTTCTGGAACCTTTCAGAGTTTTCACAACTCTGAAGGTTTTTGTGGAGCTGCTGGATGAATGAATGACGTCATTTCTAACTGGCGGTGGCTGCTGGTCGTCAGAACCCCATCTCTGCAGGATGAAGTTATAACCAAGCAGTTCGTTCATTGTATCATAACCAAGAGCGGTTCGTTTGCTGCGTCACATTTTTAGGGCAACACAAAAGAGTGCATGTTACATATTCTGTTTATAAGAAGTTCAAAAATTGACAAAAATAAGCTTATGATACCAGAAATTAGTTTAAAAATTCTTACCTCTAATGGGACAGAGATTTACTGGAAGGGGACAAAAGGGAACTTTGTAGGTTGATTGATCTGCAACTTGATCTGAGTGGTGGTACCACAGGAACATAAATAAAAGACTGACTAGATGAACCAGGGATATAGGTTAGTGGGAGAGCATTGTCTAGCATGGCCATGGCCTTGAGTTCAAGTTCCTGCCACCACAAAATAATTAGGTACATGTGTCAATTTTTTCATTGTATTGCATATATGTGGTAATATTTTCTTTGTGATCTAACAAATAAACCTTGCCTGAAGACCAGAGTGTGAAGTTAGCTATTAGCTATCATAGAGGACAGACAGTGGTGGTACAAACCTTTAATCCCAGCACTAGGGAGGTGGAGACAGGAAGGAATATGGCTGGGTGGTGAGAGGTATACAAGGTGGGAGGAGACAGGAGCTCAGCACATTCAGTCTGAGACTTGGTTTGAGGATTTCTGGCTGATTTGCTTCTCAGATCTTTCAGCTTTCACCCCCTAATATCTGACTCTGGGTTTTTATTATTAAGACTGATTAGAACTCATGATGCATCTGGCTCCCGACTTTAGGGCACGAATTCATAAAAAAGCTGCTTGCCCGTGGCTTTGCAGCCAATGGCACAGACCAGAGCTACACACGGCCATAGTCAGCAGCCTGTCAGCTAGGGTTTTCTTTTCTTTTCTCCTGGTGGATTGTGGGCTTTCCCTGAACCCCACTTCTCCGGCTACTGCCAAACTAGAGATCTGCCTTGAAACCCACTCAGATATCTACTATTCTACTCAGCAGAAGTCAGCCTCACATCTTCATCATCACTGACAGCAAATTTGGTGAGAAAATTGGAATTTCTTAAAGGGAGGAATTAGTTAAAAGAGAAAGTTTTTCCCATGTTAAAAAAGGGGGGGGAAACACTATTACAATGGAGAGAGTTAGGTCTCTGTATGATTATGCAATGCATGATTTAAAATGGAAAGAAATCAATGAAATGAAGGGATAATCAACCTAACTGGTATTGTCATAATATTAATTATTTTGATAAGAGATATTCAGATCTAGAAAGAAGAATTTAAAGGAGAATCAATTCTCAGGCAGTGGGATCAGCATGTCCAGGGAACCAGAGGGCAGGAAAGAGGACCCAATATAGGCCTGGTGACGCAATAACCGCACCAGGGAGGAGACACATTTGCCCTTCAGCTTAAGAACAGTAATGGGACACTGAATGGGTTTCAATTTTTTTTATTACATTAAAAAAATGGTTGCATGGCATTAGAGAGACAATTCGATGGTTTAGTTCCCAGCACCCACATGGGAGCTTTTACAAACATCTCTAACTGCAGTTCAAGGGATGTAATGCCCTCTTCTGGAATCCACTGGCAGACTCCAGGTATGCACATGGTACATACACATACATGCAGGCAAAACACTCACATATGTAGATAAAAATATTATTAAAAATCTAACGTGTGTCTGCATGCACACGTGTCTAGGTATGTACATGCTCAGAGGCCAGAAGACAACTCGTGGGAGTCATTTCTCTCCTTCCATCATGTTGGTTTTTGAGGGAACTCAGTTTTCAGGCCTGGTAAGCAAGTGCATTTCCCCATTAATCTATCTTGCCTGCCTGGGTTTCTTAATAAAAAATTATTTTAGGGACTACAGAGGTGAGTTACAAACACTTACTACTCTCCCAGAGGACCCGGGAATTCCCAGAACCCACACAGCACTCACAACTGCCTGGAACTCCAGTTCCAGGAGATCTGACACCTGTTCTGACCACCACAGGCACCAGGCACATGTGTGTGGTACACACACATACATATGTGATGAACATACATATGTGCTAGGTACACATAGGCAAACCATTCACACACAAAAAAATAAAAATATCTTTAATTATTAATAGGTTTCATTATGAGATTTCCATACATTCATATCACATTTTTGGAGTTTTTTTTTTTCGAGACAGGGTTTCTCTGTGTAACAGTCTTAGCTGTCCTGGAACTCACTTTGTAGACCATACTAGCCTCGAACTCAGAGATTCGTCTGCCTCTGCCTCCCGAGTGCTTGGCGCGCCACCGCCACCTGGCCGCATATCACGTTTATATTCATCCCACATGACTCTTATTCCCCTATCCCTTTTCTCCCTTCAAATAGTTCTCACCCTGTTGCTTCTCTCTCTCTCTGTTTCTCTCTCTGTTTCTCTCTCTCTCTGTTTCTCTCTCTCTGTTTCTCTCTCTCTCTCTCTCTCTCTCTCTGTCACACACACACATCTACATTCTGTCGAATCATTTTTAGTAAGAATGGCACACTCAGATTTCTGACTGAGAAATATTACTAGCAATAAAAATAATCGGGGGGCACGCTGGCGGTGGCTCCCGGACACAGTGTGTACTCAATAAAATATCTGCGGAAAGAAAGGGTTCCAGACTCCCTCTCTTAGATGAGACAATACAACTGAGTTGTGAAGAATCCACCTGCCCCAACCGTCCCTTACAGGGGAAGAAGCTAAGATACAGAGAGGTAAAGAAAAGCATGAAGCTAAGGGGTGAAAGCTGATTTAAGTGTCTGAAGGCTCAGCCCCGCGCTAAGACAGCTTCCCTTCTTTGGGAAGCGAGGGAGCCAGAGGCCCGCCTACACTTGTTCACTCAACAATTCTATTTTGTGAGCACCTACTGAGTTTGCTAGGGCCACGGGACGAACTAGAGAAATACTGATAGGCTGATAAAGGTTATCTTTATCGCCACTGTTATTAGACACCACGCTAATAATGGCATTATTAGATGGCTGTGTCAAGCGCTTTCCAAGCCTTTCACTCATTTCCTCTGCGCAAGAAAATGCTGTTATCCCCATAGTTGGGATGAGCAAACTGAGGCGTGGAGCCATCCGCTGGGACAGCGCTGGACAGCTAACCAGACCGAGGTCGGACACAGCACGCTCGCTAGCACTCCAGCTCGCGCGCTCCACCTTGCGCGCCAGGGGACGCCTGGTCACGTGGACGGAGCCCCGCCCCTCGGGCCCGCCCCGCCCCCGCCGCGCTCCCTCCCTCTCTCCTTCCCTCCCCCTCCCTCCCCGGCCCGGTCCGGCCCATCCCCCCCCCTCCCCACCGGCTCCCTGAGGCCCTGCCGGGTCGGGCTGCGGGCGGCCGGGCGCCGACGGCCGGACGGACGGGCGCACGCGAGGACGGGCGGACGGACGCGCCGAGGGCGCCGGGCACGCACGGCCCGGGCCGGCGCTGCGAGGCCCGCCCGGGAGGGCCGGGGCCGCGCTCAGGTGAGGCGACGGCGACGCTGGCCCCGTAAGGGGTGGGCCTGCTGAGCGTCCCGGGCCCGGCCCGGCTGGCTCCGCGGGGAGGAGGCGCCGCCCGGGCCTGGCGCGCGAAGATGGCGCCGGGCGGTCGTGCAGCTCGGCCCGAGTACGGCCCGGGCCCGCAGCCGCCCCACCCGCCGCCGCGCTCGTGTCCCCGTCGCCATGTTGGGGAGCGGGCCCGGGGCCTGCGGGCGGGGCGCGGGCGGGAGCGGCGGGGCAGCGGTGGGGAAGGTGCGGGGTCCGGGCTCTGCGGGAGTGCAGGGCGGCCGGGGGTTGCGCGGGGTGGCGCTGCGGCCGGGGAGCCGGCTACCGCGGGGCGTGAGGTCGGGGCTGGGGGCGCGGAGAAAAGACCCCAGGAACGAACGGGACGGGCGCTGGGGTTGGTGGGTTGAGGGGGTGGTGGGCCGTGGAGTTGGGTTAGGCCGTGCGCAGTGTTCGGAACCCCAGAGTAGCACCCAGGGGTAGGGGAGGCGGCTTGGGGACCAAGTCCTGGCTGTCAGGGCTGGAGTAGTTTTTTTTGCGTGCATGCACAAGAGGTGGTTGCTTAGAAATGGGGGCTGCGAACGCGAGTATCAGAGTGGGGAACTGACACGAGAATCAATCTGGAAAGGTCCTGGCGCTGAATGGCCAGTCTTTATGACTCCCGAGGGTCTCAAAACCTATGAGCCCCGAGGAGCCTCTTAGCCCCGTTGGAGGCAGCAACAGGAAAAGGGAAGAGCTTGACGAGGAAAGAAAAGGTGGCCGGGGTTGGATGTAGGAGCTGGACGGCAAAAGGTACAGAGAGTGGAACTGGTTAGGAACGGAGAGCACCTCCATCAACTCAAGGAGTTGTCTTTAAAAGGAGGGACCCGGCTGTTTGGGGGCGGTGACCCAAAGTGCGTTTCCTGGAAGGGGACAGCCGCTACTTAAAGAGCAGGGTCACCTGGGGAGGTCATCCGAAAGGTCTTGTTGGAGCTAGTTAAATAGTGAAGAACGAATATGTATTGACTGGTGGCTTTAGAGATGTCATGGTTTCATTTCAAGTAGTGATTTTACCCTGAGACCTAGAAAGCCAGTTGATTTCTCAAGATAGAACGTTGATGAAAGGGGCTCCTGAATATGGCCTACTGCTTCCTCATTCGACACTTTGCCTTACAGGCGCTTGCTAAGTCAAATAGCTCCATATATTAGGGAGTCATTAATTTTTGTTTGAACGAGTTGGTCAGTACAAAGGCTGCGTGGGATACAAAGAAGTACAGATAATCAGTTATTGGATATTTCCTAGCTTGCCATTCGTACAAAAAAAAACATCAAGAAAGAACCTTTTTCTAGAGTTTAAAAAGATGATCCCTTTCTTCTAGATGTTTAGTGCACAGCGAAAGTACACAAAAAGCCTAAAGGGAAAAAAAGAACGATGAATAGAGACCTAGGGTCCCTATCCTTTTCACTTTAATTGAAGTTTTGTTATAATAGGGGATTCAGAGTTTAAATGGATACGAGATAAATCAGCCAGTGATATATAGTTGATTTATGTCCCGCAGTTTTGCATCTACAATTTCAACCAATCTCTGATTGGAAACATTCATTTAAAAACATTGGATCTGTGCTAAACATACAGGTTTTTCTTGTTGCTATTATTTTTTCTTGTTATTCCAAAACTAATCAGCTTAAAAACTGTTTACACGACATTTACATTTTATTGGGTATTACAGGTATAGGGGATATGCAAATACCATATCATTTTATATAATGACTTTAATATCCTAGGAGGTCCTAGAATCCATTGACAATATAAGACCCCACATAATTAAAAACAAAACAAACCTTAGAAGCCAAGCCTGGTGATTCACATCTATAATCTCCTTGCATAGGAGGCTGAGGCAGGAGAGCTTTAAGTTTGAAGCTGGACTGGGCTATAGAGTATAGGCCCAGTCTCAGGAGAAGAAAAAAAGACTTTCAGGGGTTGACATTGTACTTAATGGTAGAGTGTCTGTCTAGCATACAACATAAGGTCCTTAGCTTTATCCCCACCTCAAAAGGGGTAGGGAGGGACTTTTAATCAAAAGAATTTCTAAGGATTTTCAACACCATGTGTATATTCAGTAAGAATTCTTCTGAGTCTAATGCAGAGAGGTAGGATCTTATGTGTGTCATGGTCTTTGTAGCATAGATCTCTCAAAGTAATATTTTTAATTGTATAAAATAAACTACATTGATTACAAATAAAAACAGTTACATTAAAATGGTATAAAATTATTTATGCTGTTGTATCTTGTGCACATACCCTTTTGGGAATGTGGTAGGGATCAAACTCAGGGCCTTCTCAATCTAGGTAAGCACTGTAATACTGAACTGTCTCCCTTGCACCCTGTGTGTGTGTGGTATGTTAGTGGTATGTGTGTATGTAGTGTGTGGTGTGTGTGTGGAGTATGTGTATATGCATGTGGAGACCAGAGGCTGACTTTGGGTGTCTTCCTTGATTGCTTTTCTATCTTATGATTTTTTTACTTTGACATTTTATTCTCTGTTCTTTAGTTATTTGTATATGTGTGTAGAAATCTGAGGACAGCTTGGGATCACTTCTCTTTTTCCACTTATGTGGGTCTGCCAGATTGAACTCAGGTCATCAGGCTTGACAGCTAGTACCTTTACCTGCTGAGCCATTTTACAGTCCCAGCCATTTTATTTTTTGAGACAGGGCCTCTTGCTAAACCTGGAACTTAGTGATTCAGCTAGGCTGACTAGCCAAGGGGCTTCAGAGATCTGCTATTCTTTACCCTCCAGCGGTGGAGTTACAGATGTGCACTATAGGACTAGGGTTGCAGACTTCGGTCCTTATGCCCTTGTGGGATAAGCACTTTACCAACTGAGCTATCTTCCAAGCCCTATATATACTCTGATACCAGCACGTTAAAAAATAGGATCTAGTTGTGGGTCTGATAACTTTAATGTCAAAGACATGTAACTTGAATAAGGTGGTGCATGGTATTTGCAAGTATGGTCAGAGACAAGATGAGAAAGGGTGTTAAAGACTTAACTGAGGAGTTTAGCCTGAATCCTCCTCAGGTGAGGAGGAGACAAGACTTTCGAGAGGAGTAGTATATGATAAGATTTAATTTTTAAAAGATGAATGGATGTTCTTTGTGTGTATGGGTGTGCGCATGTGTGCTCATACACGTAGAACCCAGAGTTCAATCTCCATTGTCATTTTCTAGGCACTGTTTAACTTGGCATTACATTCATGTCTGTCTGTCTATTAGTCAGTCTATCATCCATCCGTCTATCCATCTATCCGTCTATTCCTCTATCAGCTGGGCCTTTTGATGGCCTGGAATTTGCCAAGTAGGGTTGGCTAGTTGCCTAGCAAAACCCAGGATTCTGCCTGGCTGCTTTTTCTGCACTGGGATTTTAAGCATGTGCCACTGTACCTGTTGTGTTGTTGTTATTGTTTGTTTGTTTGTTTGTTTTAATTGGTTCCTGGGGTATAACTTAGGTCCTCATGCGTGGAAGACAAGAACTTTAAAAACTGAGCTAGCTTCCCAGCACAATGGGGATGTTCTTTTGAGATATGGGTGATAGACTGAAGAGAAAGGGAAGAAATAATAAGGTCTTAAATTGAGGTCTGGAGAGTGGACATTGATCAGAGTTAGACATTCCAGGTGTTGATAACTGATACTGTGAATGATAAGGGAGCATTTTAAAACTCTGGCTTAGATGATGATTATCAAAAACATTTTTTTCAGTGAAATAAAGATAAATGGGAAATTGTCATAGATAATAAGTTAGAGGGTGTTGTTGTTTTTACCATTCCAAAACTGTTAAGTGTAGTATGTTATGTACTATATACTATATACTCTGTGTGTGTGTGTGTAAGTTATATGTGTGTGTGTAGTATAGCTTAGAAAAATTAGAGGTGTCAGTTGACATAAAAAGTAGAATAAGATGCAAAAAGTATTCCTAGAGTATAAGAATTATAGCTTCCTACATTAAGATTCACCCTGTCTCGAAAAACCAAAAAAAAAAAAAAAAAAAAAAAAAAAAAAAAAAAAAAAAAAAAAAAAAAAAAAAAAAAAAAGATTCACCAAACTAGCTCATAGGTCAACCACTTGTTTTTGTAAAGGATGTTTCATTGGAGTACAACCATACTTGTTTACATAACATCTATGGCTGTAGTGCTTCCAGTGACAGAATTGAGCCGTGGTGACAGAGACTATATATATACTTGTTGAATATACTTATTGTTCAATGGCAGCAAATTGGCTGTTCTGGGGTTTGCTGAGTGGGTTAACTGTGGTAGAGTTAGGTTTACGCCCAGCTGAGGCTTGTTCTGTTAGATTATATATTGTCATATTGTATTTTTTTTAAGTGTTCCTTTACATATTCTAATTATTAACCCTTGTATATAGGTACTACAGATGTCATTTCCAAAAGTGGGAGGGTGCTGGACAGGTTGCTCAATGGTCTAGAGCATGCATCCATTGCCCTCTTATGGTCTCCATGGGCACTGGATACATGTGGTACATATACATTTATTTATTTACACATAAAATAAAAGTATTTAAATAAATAAAATGAATCCGTTTAAGGTTGCTGAAAGCTTGGAATATTACTATCAACATTATCAATCTTTTCTTCCCCCAAGATTTTTTAAGTTACTGTGTATATTATCTTCTGGAATCTCAACTGTTTTGACCTTAATGTTTACATCTCTGGTCCACTTTTTGTGTGGGATGAGGTGAGGTGCAGTTTCATTATTTTATCTGTATAATCGGTGATCTCAATAGCAAATATTGAATAGCACTTGCTTTCAAATTGTAAACTTTTCAGTGGAATCTGAGGTCTCAATTTCAGCTTTTCTGTTTACTAATTGTATGACCTGGAACAGATTTATGAGCTTTGTGCCTTAGCTTCCTCCTCTTTAAAACAGAGATAATAGTACTTTATTAGTAGAGTTGTTTAAAGGATAAAATAATTCCTGTAACACA